GAAATTTGGCTGTCAACTCTTTGACATGCTGATCTTTGTAACTCAAGTTTGTAGAATGTTATGACACTGATAATATTTATTTTGCTGTGGTAGTGGTTTCTATAATGTGAAACCATAGAAGATATGTAGTATGTTTTAGTGCATTTGTTGAAAGAAATTTAAATGTGAATATTTTGTGATAGTATTATTTTAGGGCAAATTCATACAAAAATAAGTGTTGCTATCCTATTTGTTTTATGTGATTGCAAATTTCAGGTATTTCCCTTTTGTTTTGGAATGGCAATGATTTATAAGATATAAAGTTTTACTGCATAGTAATGGGCATGTTGAAGGAGTGGGTCTGGAAGGGGTGAAAGGACATGTATGTGAGACAGTCAGTCTTGTTAAAAATAATAGGGTATAATTTTCGATTTCGTTTTTGCGTATTATGTTTTCAAAGAAGAGATTCGTGTCATTTTGACATTTCTGGATGATCACTTGGAAAATAAATCTTTTATGATGTGCTTTTAAAACAAATTGAGCACAGAGTTAAGGAAGTGTAATGTGAAATTCAGTATACTGTAGGTCTATCCATATATTTGGAAGAATTTCATTATATAGTTGTACAGTTTCTATTGAATTTTGAATAATTTTTTACTTCTGTATGCAATATTAAAATTGATACAATGTTTGGATCATGTTGAAAGTCCATCCACTCACAGAACATTTCTAGAATGAAATGACATTAGTTATGCCACTCTTATGTGTCAAAATTGTTTTAAATTTACAATTTTTGTAATGGTTATAGACATTCTAACCTAGAAAATTTCCCAACTGTGCTAACTTTCTATGTTTTGAGGTAAAACACCACAAAAACTGGAGCTCTGATGACATAGTGATCATAGATTTCTTATGGCAGTTGGCTGAATATCAAGGATCAAATGTTATAATGTTATATTTATTTAGAAGGAGATCGGTAATACATAATTTCACAGTGTTATGCAAAGTGTTGTGATTATTTGTAGCCATGGTAAGCATTCATTATTTTTCTTATATTGTCTAATAGCCATACAAACCTCTTATATGTTTTTAGGTTTCTTTTCCTCAATTTCTCGAAGTAGTTTTAAATTTATCTCAGCCATATCACATGTTGGCTTCATGTCCTTTGTCTTGTTTGGGGCATTGGCTGCTCTGATTGAGGATTTTGTGATTATTCCCAATCGCTGTGTCAGTACATTGAAATATGTTACAGTTGTTTAATTTTTATTCTTCTTCAGTTTATCATTCATGAACATCACCTTATCTAATGAAATACTAAATCACCTCTGTGATACATTCCTGTTTATAATATCCACTAGTATAGATTCCCTGCATAATGAAGTTGTGATACATGTCAGAACTCAGAATATAACTTCAAGTACTGTACCAATATATTAACGATCCAAATGTTGTACTCATATCTTCCAAAATGATTAATTTTCTTATGTGGCAGGCTAAATGTAGATTTTTGCAAGGCTGTGTTGTTGTTTTGCATTCTACAAAAATTGGCCTTCATAGGTGCATACAGATATCTTCAGAAGATCCTTTGTTGCACAAAACTTCAGGATATGACATTCACTGGTGCTAGTATAATGCCCACCTCACAACCATCATGTTGGTATTACTGAAGACAGAGAGCTATAAATTATGAAGGTGAAATAACCTCGAATACATAATGTGTATAGTAAGATCATGAAAATCTACTATTGGTTCAAAAGTCAAGGGAGGACTCACACTTGTACAAATGGTTAAACAGACACATAGATGTGATGAAAGGAAAGTAAGCTGAACTGGGCATAAAGGAGCATCTGCAAGTAGACAGCATGGAACATTTTATGAAAACCAGAGACAAACTATTTTTATTATTGGTCAATTAATGTGTTTAGGATAATAACTGCTATTTTTACATGTGAGCATCTGCTTAAAAAAAGCATTAAAATAACTAATTCTGTGGAACAGAGTCCTTCTTCAGAAGCTGATAGTCACTCAGCTAGTGAAGAAATTCACTTTCTTCTGTGGAATCTGAAGGTTCATTACCATGTTCAAAAGAGCCCACCACTGGTCCCTATCTGGGCCAAATAAATACACTCCACTCTCTCCCACCGTTTTTCTAAGAATCATTGTGTTATCTTCCTATCTATGTCTAGGTGTTTTAGGCAGCCTCTTCTGTTTAGATTTTGCAATCAAAATTTTGTACACATTTCTTATCCCCCCCAAGTGCACTACATGCCCCCACTAATCTCTCCTCTCATACCCCTTGATTTTATAATCCTAATTATATTTGGTGAAGAGTACAAATTATAAGGCCCCTCATTATGCATTTTTCTCCAGTGTCATATTAAAATTTCAACTAATGTCATATACAACATGGCTATACCATTGTGACTTGGTCATGTATATCTCATTTGTGAAAATAGTTTGATGAAAATTACATTGGAATTAATGTTGAAAAGGATTAAAAGAATGTATCTTACTACCCCTTATGTATCATATTTATCATACAGCCATCATATTAGATGTTATGTTACAATATTTTATTGATTATTTTGCCATCTCAGACTGATTAATTATTTTATTCAGCACTCTGTGCAATAAACCACAAACAGTCAGAACTGGAAAATAAAATTCCTAATTTATATGTGGATATTGGAATCACCATTGAAAAATAAATTGAGAGTTTCCAAAAGACTTGAAGAATTACATTATGTTTTACGGTTGAGTGGATCAACGATGTAATAAAAATGTAGACCTACATGTTTGCTGTCATGAACGGAAAGCCAAAATTGATGCTGCTGCAGGCATATCCAAATCTTTAAACTATTTGTAACTTTGAAAGCAGAGAACTTTTAAACAGTTTGAATCAAAATATATCTGCTATTATAACAGCGCTTTTGCATTTGGTTTGGGCGGATGTATATTTATGTTGATGGAACTGCTGTGTCTTTTAAATGTCAGAGAACTGTATACCGCAGTGTTGATAATAGTTGCACAGGTACTGGAAATAAATCCCTGTGCACAGACATACAAATTATGGGAAGTTTACCAAAAAATGGGTTCTGAATGGGTAAAGCTTAAATTTGTTTGAATATCTTCTGTTGACCAACACTGATTTTATATACCAGCAGTTGTGACATACTAACTATAATTTAAATGTATTTTCTGTTTATTTCCCTAATTTCTTGATCCCTAAATAAAAAAATATATACAGGAAGGGAAGGAAAGTAAGGGGAAGTAGAGGATATGAGGGGAGCATGGGTAGGTACTGATAATAGAGATGGGAAGGATGGAGTACCCACAGCAGGGTTGGCAAGTAAAGCAGGCAGTGGCAGAGCCCCTAGAAATGAAAGATGATTTTAATGTGAGGTTTAGTTATAGTCCTGTTAAGGATGTAATGGGGCTCAATGGAGAACATGCTGAAAATAATAATGACCATTTTTCATAATTAAATGTAGAATGAAACAATGTCATTTCCAGTATGCATATAGCATAATTAAAAGATTGCTAGGTGGCATATGAAGAACAAAGACTGTTTTAAAATTTGTTAAAGTAATGGCACTTCCGACATTAATATACAAATCAGAGTGGGAGTAAGGACTGTTGCGTGTTACAGGAGAACATAGCATTCCATAAACGAAAAAATTAGTCAAGACCTAAACATAGTTAGCATCCTTGACAAAGTAGTTTAATATTGAATTAATTGGTTCCACCACATGGAAGGAATGCATGGAGGAAAATTTTCTAAAAGACTGCCTGTATACACTAAAAGGTAGGAGAATGGTGTATGCCGTACGAACAATGAAGGGATCATTTCTGAGTTAAACTTTGGATTGAGAACAGTCTACAAAGTCTTCCTGTTGATGATGATGCCACTAGTATTCGGTTTTGCCACAATTTCTTATAAATAGATTTTTTTAATCTTTGTAGCCATAAAAATAAACACTTATTCGTTTCAACAAAATACAATGACCTGAAATAGATGTGCATGGCATTGCATGGGTTGCTTCATAGTTGTAGCCAATTGACTCCTTAAATAACAGTTAATAAGGGCAGTACAGTTTTAGAAAGGATACACTGTGTTGGTGAATGTATTGGTTGTTAAAGAAGTGCTGGTATTTTACTCTAAAATATAGGAGTTTGTAATGTTCACTTTGCTTACAGTTGTTATTCCTAGTCACTATTATTACAATTTTGTGTCTTAAATTCTAATTTTCATTTTAATCACTGAATGTGTAAGTTGTTAAATTGATCAAAGAATGCAAACAAACTTTTAAAACTAAATAATACAAATTGAATCATGAATTTATATTGTAGGTTGTTGATTCAGAAGCACCGAATGCGCAGTATTTTCTTATTCATTTTAGCTTTTGTGTAATGCATTATTTTATATTTTTATATATTTAATTAGTACAAACAATTTCTGTAACAGTATTGAAGAATGATAAATATTTTTATCAACATATTTCGTAGACAGGACAATGTTTATGATTGAATTTATTTAATGTAATATAAACATGAATCAGTTCAATTCTTTTCAGACTGTAATATTGTCTTACAGTTACTTGAGCATAAGAAGAAAGTCTCTTGAAATGACATTATTAATTATGTTACTGTATTCTTATAATAACTATGTCATTATTGACAGGATGGAAACATTAAAGATAAGTGTATTAGGTTTATATCATTATTGAGAAATTTTTGTCCAGTTTATATACTTTTCTAACTGGACATAGGTGCACATGAATGAACATTACCAGTATTTGTTGCCTTTGAATGAATATGTCATGGGAAACAATAATAAAACACAGTTATTATCTTGCATGGATTTGTTGGTGTCCCAATCTTAGAGAAGGGACCACACCATTTGTTGACTGTCTACCACAGCATGATTATTCAAACAAAACAAATTTAAGATGTGATTTATATTAACTTACTCATTCTCATGTTATGTTTTTACCCATGTGTGTGCAATTTGGTGATGTCAGGTGGAACAACACGTGCCCAGTGGGAAGATGTCACAGGTTCTACACCCCTTACATTTGTTAATGACTGCGTATCCTTCACGACCACAGTGTCAGCACGTTTCTGGCTAATGGACTGCCGCAACATTAGCGAGGCAACCAAGATGGCTACTGAACTGTACAAGGAGGCTATACATGTTCCCTTCATGGCCAAGTGAGTATCATGAGTGTAGTTGATCGTATTGCACGTATTTTTAAAGGAAAACATGAAGTTGGTAGGCCTTCTGAAAGTCTCTGCCTTCGTTCAGCCTGTCAAGGATGGCCTGGCCCATAAAACACCAGGCCTATACATAATTCTCGTGGAGCTCAGGATGGTGTACACAGGAGAGACTGGGAATTCAGTTGAGATCATGTTCACAGAGCACTATCAACACGCAGGATTTGAGATTTTCACTGCGGTGAGTCTGAAGAAGACAGTCTTCTGGGTTGATGCACCGTGTTGTCTGGTAGATGTTTACCTTGCTGCCTCCATCATCAGGATGATGAATAAGTCATGCGAGTGGAAAGTTAGTGGAGTTATAGGGACCGGATGTTTAGGAGTAGCCTAATTCTAACCAGTACGAGGACTGAGAACAATAGAGCACTGCAAGTTGTATTCTCTGAAAAAAGAAGTTATTCTTTCTGCTACTATCTTAGTGGTTAAGGATTAAGAAGCTTTCTGGAACATATCATCCAAAACAAAATTGGAGTATAATTATGAACTACATTATGGGTGAGAGAAAGCAAACAAAATAATAATAATATGAAGATAATTTAATTTCACAATTAAAGAAAGCAAAGACAGTGATGGAAGTAGGATAAAGTGAAGCAACATGGGTGTTCATTTATTTTACCTTACTCCGAATTTATATATTGATACAGACATCACCAGTTTTACTTGGTGAAAAATGCCTATTTATGTTTCATCTCCCTTCATTAGAATTACAAGCTCAGAGGAATAAACATCACTATTATGTGAATAAATATGATAAATAACATTACTTTTAAGTCCTATTTTATCAGTGATAGTGGTTCTGTGTGACAGGTTTGTGGTCTTTGCAAAACGAGTGGATGTTCTGGAGGCTCGACTCAGGGTGTTCTGCATGACAGATGACAAGGAAGACAAGACCCTGGAACATCAGGAACACTTCACGGAAGTTGCAAAGAGTAGAGATGTAGAGGTAGGCTACTGTGCAGTTTAATACCAATTTTGTTTAATGGTTCCAGTTTCTGTGTTAATGCCCGTGACTCAATTGTTTCATTAAGGATAAATGTAATAAAACAAATAATAGACACTTTGCTCTTATAATACAGAAGCAATGGTAGAAGCTGAAGGTAACATATTCCACATTATTTAGATTCCTTAAGTTACACTTCCTGCACTGCCATTGTACAGAGGTCATCAGATATCTTCAGTTTTCTCTTTTGCTCCTCCTCCTTTTTCCAAGCAGTCTGATACAGCATTGACATTCTAGACTTGTATTAGATACATATTCATTTTAAATTAACTGTTCTGACTGATGTTTTGTAGAGCATTAAGCAGTCTCTCCAGGAGAATATCAGGGCACTGCCTTGAAACAGACCACAATTACTGCAGTGCAGATCCTTACGATGTCACCATTCATAATCTCTCCACCTTATCTGATGATGAATTGTGTTAACAGTTGAATAAGATTATTAAATAAATTCAGAATCAGTTTTCTCAACTCATGCCCATTTTCAAGGACTGAATTTGAGATAAGGGCCTCCATATCTAAATTCCAGTCCAATTTGAACCTAGTCACTGCTCTCTGTGTTGTATCTTGAATTTGAACACCCAGCCTCTCTTGGTCCTTCCAACACATTCTTGGTGTTCATACTGATCTTCCATTTAGTATTAATTTCATTTCCATTTTGCCAGTCTGTCTTTCTACAATCAGGCCATTTGTTTCTGATATTCAGAACTCTCACATAAATAACTGATTTTATCCTGTTTCTTACAGCTTCATTGTTTACTTATAACTTTGATTTTTCTTGTTCTCCTTAGTAATTGTTGTTGTTTGAACAAAATGTTAGCCAGAATTGATACTTCAATTATCTAGGCTTTAATCTATGTTACGAAGGACAAAAATAAGTATTGTCAGTTATATAAAAGTCCAGGTTACCATGATCCAGATTTTCACATCACTTTTGTCTGAAGGTACATCAGAGTCAACATTTATAAGCACTTACAGTTATACTTAATGGGACAAAAAACATGTTCTATGATTTTTGACTATGAAAAACACGAAGCAGTAATGAAAAAATTATATATATTATGAATAACAGATATTATACAGCACTGTACAAGAAATTATATATAACATGTTTAAAGAATGATAATACTTATACTTGGCAAACTAACCCTTAAACTTAGAAGGATGATGAATCTATTTATTGTCCTTCTCAGTAAGAACACGTCTTTGTTGCATGTCAGTATTAGGGTGATCCCTGACATTGTGCATCTGGAATTTAAATGTGATCCACATTTTACATTGCAGGTCCTCGAAGGCAAATCTCAGCATGTAGAATTTTCTGGAAACTTGGTACCTGTAACAAAGTCAGGTGATCAACTTCAGCTTGGCTTCCGAGCATTCAAAGAAAACCGCCTTCCGTTCACAGTACGTGTAAAGGATCCACATGCTGATACAGTTGGCAGAATTCTCTTCATGAGAGAGCCAAAGGTGAGCTAACAGTTATAGACATCACAAATTTTCACTGTTTCATGAAGTATGTGTACTGAAAATTTGTCTTATAAACAGGTAGCAAAAGGAGAACCACCTCAGCAGCCCATCTGTATACTTAACATTGTTCTGCCAGAAACAATCCTGCCGGAGTCAACACTCTCAGAACCTGACTTGTTGGTCCTGAACAAGAAGTACAGTTTCTTGAGGGATGGTGGCCTGGGTAAGTTAATGTTTCCTTAATTATTTCACTTTTATGAATAGGACTGTTCTGCCAAATTGTATTGTCAAATTAACAGTTCCTTCATAAACAAGGAAAGTGAGGGAATTAATATAATATATATGGCTTATTTTTCGCAGACATAATTATGATTTTGACATATGTACACCCTGTGAAACTAAGATCAAGAGTGGAACATTTTCTAAGACCAAGACTGTAGGTGATGTAAGTGTACAGCTGGCATTATAATTCCAAAATAAAAAGTTTTTTTGGATGTTTTCCATCGTCTAATAAAATCATAAAATTGCACGACGTTTCGGACATGGGACTCTGTCTCCATCTTCAAGTATACCTACTCAGTTGGGCCCAATCGATAGACCTAAATTTGCAAATGTGGATAGAACACACTGTCAAAAGGTTTGAAGTAAGATGACCGGCCATGGGAAGTATACACAGGGGAGAAGATGGTTGTGTGACCTCGCAGCAAGTGTACAACATCAAGATGACTTACTGGCCCCATGGCCCTTCCTCAGTGCGTCTGCATTGACCCTTTGAAATTACCCACATAAAGCCTTTGTGCGACAGTTACTTGACATGAAGTGAGAAACTACAACTCATTCAGAATGTACACAACATGCTTAACAGATATCTGACATAAATAATTGTAATTAATGGAAATAACATAAAAGTCTCATATTTCAAGTACAAGAGGATTACAAATTATTGGAATTATGATGCTTGCTGTTGCCTACATACTTAGGTTGATGCATGAAGAATGACAAATAATGATCAAAGGCTTTTCAAATGATGGCAAGAAACTTACATAGGAGGATTACATTGTATTCACAGTAACCTCTTTTCTTAAATTTTATTGGTTGTATACATAATATCTTTTCAGACTGGCACTGAAAGTTTTTAGTAGGTAATAGCAGATAACAATAACCTCAAAACTGTGTTTGGAACAGACATTACTTCTTTGCAGGTCGGCTAGATACAACATATCAACGCACAGACCTCCGTTTATCAGACATAAGCAATCTGCTGGGAGAGGACTGGGTATTCCTGGCAAGTGAGCTTGGCATCACAACCTCAGATGTTAACCTTATAAAGACAGAATGTCCAAGCAGTGTTGCACAGCAAGCCATGGCCATGCTCAGGTTATGGCTTCAGGTGGCTGGAAATAAGGCCACAGGTAACTTATTGCATCTCTCAAAGTAAATGTGTTACGTGCCTCATTATTCATACTGAAATTTATGTTCATAAACTACTTTTTGGTTTATATGTCATGCCATGATTAAATAAAACTCCAATATTTCTGCGACAACAGTATGTAATCTGGAAATTGTCCTATACTAACAGTTGCCTTAAAATATTTCTTATGCAAGGAGTAAATATTTGCAATGATGGTTGTTTTATTTTTATTCTCAGGGAATGTTCTAGAGACAGCACTGCATAAAATTGGACGTGATGACATCGTGCAACAGTGTATATTCAATACCGATGAGGTGGACAGGGCTGTTGCTAAAGTTCAGTTTGATCAGTCAGGTTTTGAGAGCTTGAAGGAAGAACTAGGACCCTCCCGAGATGCTTCTTTACGGCGAGATGCAAGCCTTGACATCACATATGATGAACAAGACATCATGAAGGTGAGAGCTGAGGGAATTTGGACCTTATTTACCTTGAATGTAATTTAATTTTAAAGTTTGTGGAAAAGATGTACTTTGCCTTCATTTACAAAATGAAATGTAATGCCATTGTTCATAATACATTGAATTGCAAAAATTTTATATTTAAGCTAAAAGTTCTTGGATTTTAGTTTCACTTCAAGAACTTATGTTGTACAGAGTGAGCACAAAATAACTTTACACTTTCAAAATTATACAGAAAACAAATGCGGCATATTTAGAATTTCACGCTCGTACCAGTAAATAGAAAAACTCTCAAAGTTTTGTTTCAAATTACCTGGGTGATTTAAGCTATGAATTCTGCCTCGAGATTCTAGTATTGAAAACAGCAACGAGTTGCCCGCAAGATTCATTTTTAATGACGCGGTGACTTCCCACATCAACGGTTAAGTGGACCGGCATAATGTCCATTGTGTATATTTTTTTGTATAATTTTCTGATTAAATATATATTTATGCTTGTTAATATATACATTTTAGGCATTCTAAAATTGAATATATTGCAGGAAGTCCATTTGTTATGATGAACTTATTATATTGATTAGCAATGCCTCCATATTGTTAAAGCCCTTTTAGTTTCACTTATTTTGTCACACCACAGGTTTTGTTCTAATTTTAAAGTCATCAGACTCTCACCCTGGACTGTAAATTTCCTGAATGTTGGGGTCAACAGACGATCTGAAAGTAATCGATTTAATTTTCTTTGTAAATATGAACCTGTTCTTGTTAACTGGTAGGGTTTTTGTTGTTGTTGGTATAGCGGTTAGAACGCTGGCCTTGTAATCCTGGGGTCTCGGGTTCGATTCCCGGCGGTGCCCGAATTTATAACTTGTGTTGGGCAAGGCCGTGGTCTAGGCAACACGGAGTTTTCCTCCGGGGGCTTCCCCGGTTTCTCCGTGGCATCCCATTCACACACAGAAGAAGGCAATGGCAAACCACTTCTGGATCATCTGCCAAGAACGTATATGAACAGGTCCCAGTCCGAGAAGAGAAAAGGATGGAAGGATCCTGTTCATACGGACCTGTCGTCAGACAGAACACTAAATAAATAAATACATATAATACAATGTGCCCCTTTTTGTCCTAGCTCTTCCACCACATTGTTTGAAATATTTCTGTCATCATTAACCCCCACTGAATCTGTACTTAAATTGTTATAACACTCCCATTTAAACAAATTTTATTATGCCATGAAAAATTAACCGATTATGTAAAAACTTTTACATAAAAAAAATCATGAGTCCTATAGCATTAATTTATACATAGAGTTTATTTGTTCCTGTCTAAATGATTAACTAAGTAACCAATTAACAACTTCTGTGTAGCATAGCCCTTTTTGGTAAGCTAATAATTACTCGGCTAGTTCATTATGGTGTCATTCATGGTCTTCTGAATTGTGACTGCACATGGATTTTTAAGTAGACACCAGTTTTTGTATGTGCCTGCAAGGCCACATTGATGCCTTCACCACCATGAGAATAAGAAAATCTTGTACATTCATTACAGTGTTCAAAAGGTTCTACTGCAGGTCCATCCTTAAATCAGGTCAATCTGGTGATACCCTGTCACCCTATTTCACTAAGATATATGTTAATATTATCTTATGATATATGCGCCTAGGTCTCTCAAGTTATCGCTTATATTTAAGATTTGTGACTAAAGTTTTATATGCAGTTCTCATCCCTCCCATGCATACTTTAATCCCAACTCATCTTATCCTCTATGATTTGATCACCGTAATAAGTTTTGGTGAAGAGTACAAACTGTGAAGCTACTGATTATGCAGTTTTCTTCAGTCTCCTGCGACTGCTTCCCTCATAAGTAAAAATCCCTGGTGTCAGGTAAAGGTAAGTATTAACATTAAGTTCTTGGGATATGAAACAGCTTATGGGAAGTACTCAGAAATATGATTTATTAATTTAAACAAAATTTTACAAATATGATTATACAGTTTATAAATGGATTGAAAGCTGAAATGCTACTGTTTGCTAAATTAAAGGTGATATGAAATATAAAGCAGCAATCATGCTTTGTAATTTTTGGACTTACACTCCTTTACCCTGGCACTAACAAAATGTTTGCCTTAGTACCCTGTTTTCTGACACCTTCAATCTATGTTAATCCATTAATGTTAGAGACCAAATTTCACACATATACAAAACTACAGGCAGAATTATAGCTTTGTATGTTGTAATCTTTATAGTCTTCTGTGGTAGAGAAGAAAAACAATTCTAAACTGAATGATAGCAAGTACAGGGTGAGCAAAAAAGGATGTTACACTTTCAAAATGATACAAAACACAAATGTGGCATTCTTAGAGCTTCCCCACAACAGTCTGCCATATATTAAACAAACTTCATCTACCCATGATACCTGATCATTCTCATATTACAGACATTTATTTTTCTGAAGGTGTGACATAACATTATATTCAACTGGAAGGTTCTCTCTCACATAACTGTTGCCCTGTTTGGTGGATGCTGATTTACTGTTCTGCCTGAAATATTTCAGGAATCAGAATCTGTGGAAGAATTGGTGCTAGCAGAGAAGAAAGAGCCGTATCAAGGTAAGTAATTTTATTATTTCTTTAGATACAATTTATGTAAGATTTTATTGATTTATCTTGCAAAAGTATGCCATTTTCAAGCTCAGTTACAAACTTTAAAACATATTCTGTACAATAAATATGCAGCAAATTTTCATTGCTACATCATTAATTATTCAGGATATCATATTACTGTTCTTGCAGACCGACTTCCAAACCCAGTCATTTCAAAAGACAAGCAGGAGCGTGATGTTGATGAGACAAAGTATATTGGAGAGGAGAAAGAGGTGGAAGAAGACCGTAGAACAGTGGCTCAGCTCAAGGAAATATTTGCTCAGGACAAACGTGACCGACAGTACGAACGGCAACCACCCATATCCGAACAGTTACCTGCAACACCTGTGAAACCCAAAACAGAAAAAGTGTCACCCCCATCAATATCAGAGGACATTTCTAAAGTGTCATCTGCCCCAATTGTGCAGAAGGAAGGGGCTCCAATATCTAAGTCAGTAAATGAAGATAGAATATCTATACTAGAAGAAGACATATCAAAGAAACAGCCTTCACCACCACCAACTGTCAGGACAGAAGCTGATCAGCGTCGTGACTCTGAACTCTTCCAAGGTGTGACAGATGAGCTGGTACGTCTGGAAACAACCTCCAAGGTGATGTCTGCTGTAGAAGGTAAGGCCACCTGCCATCTTGTAATACTTTTGTTGTTGTTGTCTTTTTAATCAGTGGAAGTTGACTTAAATAACATAATTAATTTTTCTGATATAATGAATGATACAAACGAAGTCCTTTGATCTGTTCTGGCCAAGAAATTTGTAGTTGATCCACATGTCTCTTTAGGGGAATTCCTATTTCTAATTTTTTGACATATTGTATATTTAATACTTTGTTCACATATACTTTTCTTTGAGTTTATCACTAAAGTTAGTTGCCCTACACCTTTTATTCTGATATTAATGTAAAGTAAGTGAAGTTTGTCCCGCTACGTGAGGAATAGGCGCTTGGGGTGAGTGGAGGTATAGCTCCTCTCTTTCTTGACCTCGGCACTAGATGGGGGTGAGTGGTCAGCATCACGCCCCGGCCGGCTTTACCCCCGGGAATGGACCCCTTCTGATATTGATAACAATATTATTTATTCATTCTCATAAACAACTGTGTATATACATTTTCTGTGTGTTGTTCCTTATATTCAAGGACTGTGATCGTGATTAGTACTCCTGATTTGTATTTTGAGATCCTGGGTTCAAATTTTGACCAAGGAATCAGCTATCTTGACTGATTTTTTAAATTGTCCTTAGTCTGTCCAGGCAAATGCTGGAATAATACCTTAATATTTGTGAACTGTGTGTCATGAATTATGTGCAGTCCACCCTGCTTTATCCCAGTAGCTCCAGAGTCAAAGTTTGGGTAGTATCCCCAATAGTATGAGGGATTAAATCCCCTGTTGCTCTATGTTATAGATTAAATTAGGCAATCACTGATTCTTACTATAGCCTTTCCAGTTCATTGTTCGCCGATAATCCTTTCACCAGCACTGTATAAGCTATCTATAAACAGCAATGTTAAATAGTCCATATAATAACAGGTCTGTGCTGCGTTCAGCATCAACAGTAGATTATGTTGTCTTGCAGGCTTTTATTTCAAAGTAGGCTTTAATTAGTATTGTTTCTTCAGTTCACAGACCAGTGATGTAGTTGAGGAAGAATAATATGAAGATAAGTTTAATCATTGAAGTAGAATAAAAAACAGATTATTCAAGTTTGTTTGGAAACAGTTGTGGAATGTCACTATTGACACATATTTTGGTAGTTTCCAGATATATGTCAAAAAAAACCCGCTGATGATGTTCTAATCGTGTATCTGAGTACATTTTTTTCTTTGAGGAAGGAGAGTGTTAGTTAGTCTCTAGACTGTTTCTTGCTCATTCTTTCACTGTTACACTCTACTGAAGCACTGGTAAGAGCTCCCATCGAAGTTATCATTTCTGCTGTTACATATCTAACTTTTGTTAGGTACCATATGGGAAGAAAGTATATACTGTATTTCTAACTTACATTCATTTTGCCTGGTACTGTAACTTAAATGTTTATGAAGTTTATGATATGATCTTGTTATGAATTGGCGTGAAGAATTGGACAAACTGAAAATGAATAGAAACAGCACTATAATTGCATACATTCTAGCTATGTACTAAGAATACAGTAGGTCATGTGTAAAATAATTAATGAAGAGGAAAGGACAGACCTGAAAAGGTGTGTAAGAATTGTTGCAAATGATACAAATCTTTAGATCCTTTCAGTTCAACAGCAGTTCAGTGCAACAACCGATTTCTGCCATGTCTGGTCTTCTAAATGTAAATGGCTCTATACAGGCCACACATCGTACATAAACATTTTAAAGTTTTGTGTTATAGTATCGCTTTTAAGTAAATCACGTGGTCATAAAATGACATTGGCGGTTCTTATTGTATATGTTTTGAAAATAATTATTACCATTATCACCACTACCACAATGCTTGGCACTGTTAGGCATAGTTCACCTGTTGTCAACAAAATAAAGTACAGATTTTTAACTTATGGTTCTTTTACAAAGCAGGTTGGTGTAACAGTGACAGTCTAGACTTGTTGTTATTGTTTATTTTTTTTACTCTTTCATTAAATAATGTGGACAAAGAAGCAAATTTTTATAGCTCATATTGTGTTATAATACACAAAGATTTGATTAGTATGCTTCTTTGAGGGAAAACCTGCATGGTAAACTTTTTTCTTGTCACTCTGCCTTCGCACATGGTCAATTTCAGTTGTTCATTCACATTTATTCTTAGCATCGCTCAAACCTTTTTATAGGTACCCAAGCACTTCTCCAAAATTTGGATTGTGAGGTATAAGCCACTTCACAGTTCCTGCATACTTACTCGTGGTATTAGATGAAGCTGGCCAAGTAAATAAAAAAAGCATTTCCTGTGATATGCAGTCTCACGACCTCCACCAGACCAATTTTTCATTAAAAACAGAATTTAAGAACCAAGAGAGGAAAGGAAATATTAGTAGACTTATAAACAAAAGATAAGAATATATAAAAATATACTGCTTCTGCCATGGTCTCAAAGACCGAATGTCACTCGTTAAGAATTAAAGTTGTTAACGTCATTGCACTGATGCAGTAGTTGTGCTCAAGAGAGATAGATTATTAGAACATCATTTGTGTAAGTGGAAACCTACACTCCTGAGTAGTTCCTTCTGCAGTTGAGTTCTGTCTTGAAAATTTGCATCTAAAAGGAGTATCATTGATGTAGAAGTCCCTTAGTATGGCTTCTGGTGAACTGAGATACTTTACATCTCCCTCCTTGGTAAGGTAGTGAAGATCGGAGAGTGCTGAAGAATGCTGTAAGTCACTTTTTTGGCTTGTTACACTTGATCATTCTTTCAGTTATGTCCATAGAATTGTCAGGGCTGGTATCATTTGGTTGGACATTAACTTTCCTGTACATTTCTCTATATTTGCTGCGGAGATCAATATGTAAAATGATTGTGTAGAGGTCTTCTTAAATAGTAGGCCCTACTATCAAAGTGTCATTCATTGATGAACTGTTTGTAGTTTCAGCATGATTAAAATGTGTACTTCTTCTTCTTCTATGGCTCTCCAGTCCGTATTCGGTCCATGGCCTCCTCAATTCTCCTCTATCATTAGATCCTATTGTTAGGTCCATTCTGTCCGAGGCTTTGATTGAGGTTAAAATGTGTACAGTATTTGGTTTTCCCATTGTTTTATACAATTGTGAAATGGTCTTTAATTCTTGAGAAAAACAGAAATTAAATGTATTTTCAGAATTTATAGGACAGTATTTTGACCTATGAAGTGAAGTTTCTTGTTGTATAGTTTTTATTACCCAGTTAATTTGGTTTGTATTCTTACAGCTTAGGTTAGTTGAATTAAAAGTGAGAGCGCATATATATACAAAATTTCTAATTATTTTCATAAAGAAGTGGTTATCTCTATTGCAGAACTCATGTCACCCAAGGTGTCCAAGACTCCGCCTCCCAGCCCTGCAGATTTGAGAGACAGCACAGGTAAATGGCATTCTTTGTAATGTATTTTGTATTGGTGTGAACATTCTGTAGTTGCGTTCGTTGCCAGTGCCACAGGAGGACTCTGCCTGCAAAAATAGAAATAATAACTATCCCACTGGTTCTCAAACTGTGGTCTATTAACTCACTGGATTTATTCAAAATGTTTCAAGAAGTTTTCATGAAAAAACGTGATAATGCATTCCATTAGCATATTGCTAAATCATTATTACAGGAGTTAAAGTCAGGCCAGCAGTTCCATAATACAATGGTTTAAATCCCCTAGTCTCATGATGAAGGTAAAGTAAAACTATGTGGAAACTTGTAGTCTTTTCTCTGAGTGTAGTTGAGATGTGGAGCTTACTTTCATAGGAAAGTGATTTGTGAATAAAGTTTTTGTAGGGTGATGATGGACTAGGTGAAACGGATTTGTGGAGGGAGTGAAGAGGTACATACAACACATATTTTCAGGGTAAAATCGGTTTAGATGATTTTTATATTTGGCCTTTGAAGATGGATACATGAACTGATAAAAGTTTGGGAACCACTGCTTTAACTATCAAGCACCTTATTATGTTTCCAAATAACTTCATTTAATGCATGGTCAGATGCTTTATACTGTATATGCATTTTCCTTATATGCATGATCATCTTCAGTATGCGACTGAGCTTGATAAAATCTTCAGGTAGCAAGCAGTGTCAGTTCTGTCCAGGACTGACACTGATTTGTTGCCCAAGAAGATTTTATCACAATGTCAAATGTTTACACTTACAATAGTGATTAGGCCGACTGCATGGCACCACATGATGAATTTCAGACACAGAATAAAATGCTCTTGTCTATATACATCCAATAAAATCATATGATGTAACATCCTATTTTATTTCACGGTTATTGCATTAAAATACACTTTTATGTTGAATTTCTAATTGGTGTGACATCCTTTTGTACTTTTATTTGGATATTTATGAAGTCCTTATAGTACTGCAGTATATGATTTCAATCTAGAATAACCTACCCTAGTGAAGATATGTAATGTAAATTTCAGCAAGACAGTGACACATAAGAATATCTTATTACTAATAACAGCATTAACCTTTGACTAAGCCCCATGTTCATAGTTGACTGACTTCCAATTTATTTAACAACATATTTTCAGTTACATAATTTATATAGTATCTAATGTGATGATGGTAGTGAATAATGGATTGGAAAGGATTAGCAAGTGGTCGTAGCTTGTTTAAGGTTCTGTCCCTGCATTTGCCTGGAGGAACTGAGGAAGACCACAGAAAAACATTGTCAGGATAGCCAGTCTATTGGCTGGGGTTTGAATCTGGGACCCCCCAAAAATTAACCAGTGCTAACCATTTGACCGTAATGTTGAGTTCCCACTAACATTCATTCTGGATTCTAGCATGCGATGGAACTGACTGCTCAATTTCTCTTTCAAAATGCCTTTACCCTAGGGAAAGCCCCACCAGTACCAATTGAACAAGAAATTGGGTCATCCACAGAAACATTGTGGAAATAATGAATCAAGGTAATATCCTGGCATTTGCCTGGAGGGGCTGAGGAAAACCACAAAAAATCTCAGTCAGGATAGCTGGTCTCCAGGCCAAGATTTGAGTCCACGACCTCCCAAATATGAGGTAGGACTGCTAACCACTCGACCATGACATGCAGTTCACTTGTGTTCAGGCCCCAGTCTCCCAGTCCATGGATGGACTCTGTGACTTGCAGTGAGTTATGTAAGGCTTGAAAAGAAATCAATGTTCACTGTCTAAGTTCACAAACTTGTAACTGTGTTACCAGAGTTGATTACTCAGGTTTTGGTGTTTAACATTTACAGTAATTTCTCTAGTTACACTTCAGATGTATTCCTGAAACAATGCTGTGTAAATGCAGAACTAATTTCCTAAGAATGTTGAATTCCCAGATGATTAACAATTATACTTGTAGATTTTTACTCATGTCAAATGCTTATATAAATCTACCTAATGCTATGTTAACATTCTAAAAGACATTGTCTCCACCGCTTCTCTGCTTTTGGCTGCAGTGTTGCTTGTTGCTGAATGTGCAACTACTTTAAAGCTAGAATTAAGATGGTGTAAATAAATTGATACATATTCATCAGGTTTAAACCAAAAACTTGTAATTGGAGAAATGCCTCGATTTCATACATGCTTTATTTTCAGTACAAGGTGGGATATATTGTTCTCATCTTTATGCACTGAAACTTTAAAGTTTAGCAAAACTTGTTATTAATATGACACCTGTATTGCCAATCATGCGTTTGGAGCAATAGCTCTACTGTCTCGATTGGATGATCGTCTCTTTGTCCGTTGTGTTGGTTATATTGCATTGAGTGATTAATTTCATGAAAATAGTGAATTATGAGATAAGAAGGTATGGAAGTAAGTGGTTATGGCCTTCTTAAGGAATTTTCCCAGAATTTTCATGGCGAGGCCAAAGGAAACTACTAAGAACCTTAAATCGATAATCAGTCTCCTGGTCAAGTTTTAACTGAACATTAAACATAATTGCTAACCACTGCTGTATTTTTAACAGACTTATCCCTTGGGTTTGTAGCTTGAGTGATGTCAAAAAAATGGTATGTGGCTGAATTGCACATGTTTTAAAAATTTGAATCTTTACAAGTTACTCATCAATCTGGATGAAATCTATTTATATGGCCCATTGGTATTACAGAATAGAGAAGTACAGTGTGCTTTCCAGTTAAGGTCATGAAAAATTTCCCCCTAAAAGACACTCTGAGTACTGTTACTGTTTGCGTCAGTAAGGTACTAAGTTTAAATGTTTGACAGAGTTACCTGGATGGAATTAAATGTTTTCGTTTTGTTCCTGTGTCTTCTTTGTTAAAGTTAGCCATATTTCAGTAAATAATAATCATAGAGCAATGCAACCAGAAGCATAATGTAGATTTGTGGACACATTATGTTTGGTTATATTTAACTATTTTAAAAATTATGATGAATTTGAGTTATAATAATTATGAACAATTTGCTAAAACAGGAAATGTGCTTCAGCTATATAGTCTACAAAAATTGCAACATGGCACGATTTAATAGAGTACTGTTTAGAGTTTGTGATATGTTTACCGAAGTAGGCCTCCCTATTCTTGTGCTTGCAACATTAGGACTTGGTGTTTTGAAGCAACAGACCTTCAGGCTAGATTTCCCATACATAACAGCTTCCAGTCACAAAGTAGACATATTGGACATTTTGAAAGCAATATTATTTCTTGTAGTGTTTGATTCTTCAGATTTTGTATAATTCAGTTTTATTTTGTGGGTAAGAAGAGAATTTTCTGCCCTTTATCTTGGTAATTTTATCTCTGTAGCTTGCCTTGTCGAGAGTATTTTATTTAAGCAGTAGTTCTTCTGTGTAAAGGTACAGATTGAAACTATCTGATGTGTAACTGCGGCAAGATATGATGATGTGCAGACATGAGTTATCAAGTCACAAGCATGTGTGCATTTCATCTCTGTTATTCTCCTTTAGTTTATGGAGGAAATTCATAAAATAGTGTAGTTGCGTCATATTGTGATTTATTAAATTAAAATTAAATTATTTGGTTATTCCGTCAAATCACAATGTATTTAAAATAAGATAATTAAAATAATTAAAATATCATTCTGTGTTCCATATCGAATAATCCAATTGTAAATCGAAAAATATTTTGATATTTAATGTGGTCTTCAGTTTTCACTTTTGGTATGCCATTTATTAAGTGCAAAAGATAACTTTACATAAATTTCAAGCATTGATTTCAGCATTTATCCATTTGATACTATGTTGTTAAGTAATATATTTTAAAAACTCTGATAATGATATAAATGTAACATGGTTCGCAACGTGCAACCTTCCGACAGAAATGTATTGGCATTGGACTAAATTTAGACAGCTACATAAAATTATAACATTTGGCCTTTAATTAATGTAAAAGTAATTTTAGAATTTTAACAGCAGCACATTATAAAAATGTATTGTATGGACTATATGGATTCAATATGTTAATGGACTTGTTTTAATATGCCACTGATACTGACCTCATGAGGTTGAAACGTGTCTGGCAGAATATAGTTGTGTTTTAAAGTGTAAAAAGTTTGAAGATTGCTGTCTTCTGGGTTGTTGCGCTGTGTAGTCTGGTCGATGTTAACCAACGTTTCAGAGGTCATACTGCCTCCGTCATCGGGGTGATTCTTAGTATGAAGTTTTCTGTCTTCTGGGTTGTTGCGCTGTGTAGTCTGGTAGATGTTTACCAACGTTTCAGAGGTCATACTGCCACCGTCATCAGGGCGATGAGTATGTCTGAGGTAGTATGGCCTCTGAAACGTTGGTGGAAATCTACCAGACTACACAGCGCAACAACCCAGAAGACAGCAATCTTCACACTCACCACTGTGAAAACCTAAAAACCTGTAAAAAGTTTGTTTGTATATGTGATTTTGTATAGTGATCCGATAATACACAGTATGCAATGTTTTAAGACTTTCATAATGTGTTGCTGTTAAAATGTTAAAATTACTTTTACATTAATTAAAGTCCGAATGTTATAATTTTACGTAGCTTTATGATGAAAGATTAGCATGTAATGTAATAGAGACAATACTAAAAAAACAAACTTTAGGGTTTGTTTTAAATATTCAGGCATTTTTGATATTATTGGTTTGTAATCCAAACACAGAAATAATAAGAAAATAAAAGGATGACAGCTAACTGGAGTTGGGAAGCAGAGAGAAAAAACAACTTTTTCAAATACTACTGATATGAAGGTAACTTAGAAGTAATTGGGACTATTGGAAACGCTGTATAACACTTGGAAACCAGGTGGCTCTTTCCTCCCACATGTACATACCAAGGTTAGTACAACAGTTTTGCAGAAGGCGACACCACCAGCTATCATAGTATCTCACAGCATATCCATTTATGAGTTTTTCACATGTCAGTGGACACATCATAGGTGGTAATGATCATCGACTACGTTGGACCACAATGATCCTGTTGAAGTTACATCAGTCATTGTCACAATTCAGAACTTAGAAAAATCATTGCGATTGTGTGCTAAATTACGTGTATGGGCGAAATTAGGCACGCTTCCCTTACCTTCAATTATTCTTTGTTCACTGTTTCATAATGGCGACTCACATTGTATAGGTGTGTATAAAGTATCTTTAGAACTTTACTCGTGAATAAAACCTTTATGAAAGGATGTAGATACACTGTTTGAGCGTCATCTGCGAAAGAAAATCTCCAAGTTTGTTCTGAACATTACACGCATTCAACATGGGCACCATTTGCCTGCCAACGATATTACGAAGATCCGTTTTGTGTGAGCTGCAGCATGTAAACATTAACTCCTTCAATAGCAGCTGTTCTCTGTTTCAAATCGTTGATGTCGGCCGCCGGACTTCGGTACACACAGTCTTTTTACGTATCCCCAAAGGAAAGAAATCACAGGTTTTGATATCGGGTGATCCAACCAGCCAAGAGATGGGACAATCATGGCCAATTTATCGGTTAGGGAAATGCTGATTAAGAGATGCACCCACAATCAAACCAAGCTCCAGTGTGGAGGTCTCTTGTCACTGGCTTGCTGGAAGAACACGGCAGGCTGGATAGACAACGTTTTCTAACATATAAAGGTAATTACTGGATGTCTCAGTCGCTTCGGCGAAGAAAAAGGGCCCCATCAAACGATCGTGTAATAGGCCACAGCACACATCAACTTTGGGGATGTCTGTATTGTGCTTCTCAGTAGCGTGAAGGTGTTCTGATCGTCAGATGCTTACGTTGTGTTTGTTTACCTTCTATGAAGCGTGGACTGTAGTCTGTCGGAGAACATGATTTAAATCGGTCAATAAAATCAGTCAGTAAATTGGTCTTCGTCCAGTTTCTCAAGCATGGTCAGTGCAAATCTCTTATTGGCAGTCCTATCATGTGGCGTAATTTCCTTCACCACTTGCAACTTGTAAGCAAGCAGACACAAACGTTGTCGACTTACGTGGACTGCGGACTAAGGTCCTGCCTGCGTATCCTTTCGACATGTTCATTAGACACACGTGGACGCCCCGTAACCCTGCTTCTGTTATCAGAGAATTAATTGTGTAGTCAATTATTTACCCTTTTCATTAGCAGGTAAATAATATGAAACATAAAATAAAGTAAGATAAGTCTTTTGACTGAAATATAAATATATTGTTACTAAAATATAACAACTTTAAGAGGAAAAATTAGCATACAGGTAAATATAATGCCTGTTATTAGATTTCCAAGGCCTGCCTTATAATTCTTGTGGCTTTTCTGTTGAACTGAAATCTTGCCCCATGTTTGACAGGGACTACAACATGGCAAGAAGGTGATATCCAGACTAGTAGAGAACAACCATTGCCAACACAAGGTAGGATTGCAATTTTTCTCATTTGGTGTGTATTTACGTAGTAGTGTTTGTGAGCTTAAGCCTGCTTTCGGTGGTAGTTTATAGAAGAAACTTGACATATCACAATGTGCTGATACTAGAATGGTTGTTGGTTCATGAGGATACACTTAAAGCAAGAATTCTGTCTGATGTACTTTACATATAAGAGGTTAAAACTGGGATGGAAACTGATTTTAGATGGACCAATGCATTGCATAATGATGGTGTTCATTTTAAATTGTTAGGCACAACGTTAATGAAGAAGGCTGAGAAAATGAGTATTTCTGTACTGGAATACACACACGCTTTCTGTATAAATTCAGAATTATTGATAGAAGTTTATGCCAGTTATTTTACTTAGGCAACTCTGTGTACAAATAATGAGGTCTTAAAGTGTTTTATAAGTACCATAAATCAATAAAGTTATAAGGTTCATTAGCTCATTGGTAGCATATAGAACTCATGTGCACAGGGTCACATGATTGAATCATGGTGGAGTCAGTTTTTTCTTTGATGCAGCCACCATGTTATTTTACATGGAATAAAAAATTATAACAGAGTTTTGTATTTTCCAAAAATCTATAACCATACGTCATTGTATGGCCTTATTGTAAGTGGCATTAATGTCAGTCTCACTAGCAAGTTTGTTTGTCGACCAAATAGATATTACCTCTTTTAGAAAATTGAGAATTACAGTTTTATTGCATTC